AAATAAAATACAAAAATAGTTTGATACTCGCCAAATCGTATTTACGCCTCTATTCAAGCCTTGAAATTGACATAGCGCGAGAATTCTGGTCTTCTAGCGACAGACTCGCCGTTTTCAAGCGCAACAATATAAAAACTGGTTTTCAAACTCGGTTTATACAAATGTACTAATAATTATGCTTGCATAAACAGTTTAATTAAACCTGCTTACATTTTAAAGTGCTTTATTATTTATACTATATATATTTATTATAACAATTATTAAAATTATGATAATCGATTTTGTACGTACTGATAATCACAAGCAAATACATAACGATAGATTTATATTTATTGCTATTTTTTTTTACTTATTTATTTTTTTACTTTTTTATTCTATTTATTAGTCTTCATTACAGTCAATAATGCCTGCTTCATACCAGGTTTTTAAGCAGAGGCTTGCGGAGGCATTTTCTTTGGACAACCTGTTACAGGTTGGGCTAATTGTATTTTTAGCTTTTGAAAACATTTCTTCACTTGGCACACTTGTCGCTTGCACGATCAAATAGTCTCTCACTATTCTTGAGAGCCCAGAATAACATATATTGGTGGATCATGTTTTTCAGAATTCCAAGGAATTACAATTTTCTTCAATGGCTGTAAGGTATTCATCAAGAACGTTTGAATTAGTAGTTACACTTTCATTATGATGTTTTCTAAAGTAATTTCTTGAAGAATTATTAGTATCTTCACTAACAGATGAGCCTGGTTCTTTATATTGCTCATAAATACTATACAGTAGCTCACGCACATTTCACTATCGAATGAAGATAATTTCATATTTGGGTCTAATGCAACTGACACGCTACAACAAGATCGAAGAACAATCCAATAATCATTAAGTTTTTTATACATTTGTCGTGCAATTTGACTATTTATTTGAATTTCACTATTCAATGCACTGTGTAAAATATTTAAAATTGTAGGAAATATCATGTGTAAATCCCCATCGTTGAACAAGTTGACGATGATAAAATTAGTGTTGCTCTTGCTATAGGCTCAAGTAATTTAACAATAGCCTAAAAATTACAGATAAGTTAATTTGATTTTATTATGTATTTAAAAATATACAAACAAAAATACTAACCTCAATTTCATGCCATTCAGTGTTACTTAAATACCATTCCTCTAAAGCAGGGTTATCTTCAACAAGGTCATCAGTCATTTGACGAATTCGAAACATTTTTTCAATCATATTGTATGTGCTGTTCCATCTCGTCAATACGTCCAAATCAGGTACGAAAAAAGGCCTTTCATTTGCTTGAAAAACCTTTTTAAGGTCCTCAAATAATGGTTGGAATTTACATATGTAACTTATGAAGTTTCGCAACTTCGTAATTGAATCGACTACAACTTTCATACTCTCAGAAACCGCAAGGTTCAACATATGAGCGGCACAACAGACATGTTCAAAGTCCTTGTTACCATCAGAGCGAAGCTTTTCACGAAATAAACGTCCAAACACCTCCATATTAGCTGCGTTGTTGGTTGTTGCAGAAACAATTCGAGAGCCAATATTATAAACTGAAACTTCTTCTAAAATTTTTTCATTCATATAGCTACTAGTATGTCGTTCATGAAGTGGTATCATACTTAATAGAATTTGTTTCATATTCCAGGTTTCGTCGATCCAATGAAGAGTAATAGCAAGAAATCCAAGGTTGGTGCAAGAGGTCCAAGCATTCATCATAATCGCAAATTTTTGGTAACTTGAGTTAAAAAAATCAGCAAGTTCAATTTGTTTATCAATATATAAATTTAAAATGCTTCGTGAAATATATTGCCTTGATAGAAGAAAATACCGTGAGGTTACTTTATTAATAAATTTTTTAAAATCATTATTTTCAACAATAGAAAAAGGCTGTTGGTCTGTGATAATCCATTTTAGAAGATATTAGTTAATTTGTAAAATCTTATCAGTATTGTAAGGTTCAACATTTGCCTTAATGGCTAACATAATTTCATTCCACCTTTCTAAATGATTATTTTTAAAATGAGACTTAATAGTAGAGAACCCCATTTTTATCGAATAAGGTTTATTGCAATGTTTGCAATATTGTTTATCACTGACTATAGTAAGTTCATTCTAGAAAGGGTTCTTTTTTAATCGCTTTGGAGGATTGTGTGTTACCTCAATAAGCGTTCCAGGTTCAAGTACATTTTGGGACATCGTACTTGAAGAGGTAGGTTCAATAAGCTCATCAAATATATTGTCTTCGTCCATCGAATTGTGAAATTCAAGTAAAAAAAAAATATGAAAAAACAAAGAAAAAAATCGCATATTTATATTTATATTATTATTAATTAAAAAAATAATAATAATAAATTGATCAAAAAAAATTGATTTTATTCATCATAATGATGGTAATTTTTTGTCCGTCATAATGTTAGTAATCTCATATCACAATTAACTTTTAATTAAAAAAAAATCAAAAAAATCAATTTTTGTTTGTAATAATGAATGCCACTTTAAATTCACTTAAAAAAATTAAAGTAAATTGATTTTGTTCATCATATGATGTTAATTTTTTGTTCGTTATAATGATAGTGATAATTTAATTACTGATAAATCAATATTGCTCACCTGATCTATTTCAAACCGGTTTGGAGCACAATTTGATAATAAAAATCCCGTAACCGCAAAAGCTCGAGTTTCATCGGGTTCGGTTCCAAACAGGGTCGAACTGAGTTTCGGCAAGCAGGATAATATCCCTATTTTCAACTCATTCTATTATACAGTATCACTCACCCGGCTACTTATGTGCCCAGGTGTGACCGTTGCAGCAACCATTTTCTTTCCTTTGGCCCTCAACTTACTAAGAGATTTTTTTTTGGATTTATGTTGGCGGTTGCTAATCTTATTTAATCATATATATCCCTGCTATATATACTACTGTACAATATTAATCAGTCACAATCTACCCTCATTACTTATCACATTACTTCTAATTTGTTTCTTGTATAATTTCCAAATTGGTGTCTTAGAAGTAGGTGCTCTTCTTGCTTCCAAATTTGGTATTCTTCGAGATACTATTTCAGATTCTAATCTATATCTTAAGCCAGGTGCTGCCATCATCTGAAGACCCATATCTCAAGCCACTTTTGCTGCCACCATTAGAAGAGCTGTTCACATAGTTTCAGGTATTAATGTTGTATACCACTAAATTAGGCTATCACCCTTTTAAAATACTCCCTCTTGGTATAGTGCTGCAGAAGTCTAGATCCTTAGAACAGGAGTTAAGTATCTCATTTAATTACTGCTACAAAGCAGTAACCAGGATTTGTGTCTTGCTATATTTTGTTATAGACTCTTATTAGATTATGTAACTATTACTTGCTAGCTGTTTTTATATTCGTACTATCAGAGTGTTTGCTTCTAACTTTTTAAAGTTTCTTTTAACCAGTTTTCTTTTGTTTTATAGTGTTAGAGGTGTTTTATTGATAAAGCTATTCTCTTATTACAGCCTCTTACTATGTTTACTACTTCTTTTACTATTTTTAGATATACTGCATTCAGCCATTCTCTCAATTAAGATCCCAATGCCACTTTAGATTGTTGGTATTACTTTGCTAATTGTAAATTTACACACATAGCCTTCTACAGTATTATCTTCCGTAACTTATGTTACATACAGTGCCTGAATCTTCTTCATAGCTTGGGGCTTCTTTCAAGAATTCTTTATTGGCCAAATATGTATATTATATGGTTTTACCACCATAGGGTTTTGTATTCAAAAGCTCCAAAGGTTACAGAGATAATTAATTAAATTAATTATTACCAGCTATAATTAAACCATCAATTTCATCTATAGAAGATTAGATGTCTAGCCACTAGGCTATAAAACTCTAACCCCAGATATAAATTATTAGAAAAAATTAAATAAATAATAAAAATATAGTATTTATATATATATAAATATAAGATAAATTTATTTATAACAGCATGTTATATAATAGGCTCAGAAAATAGCCTCAGAAAATAGTATAAATTATTAAAAAAAGTTTATAACAATAAGGTTTTATACCACTTTTTTAATTAGTAAAAATTCGCTAACACATATACATATCAGATATATACAGTATGTCTAGTACTAGGTATATATATACATATATATATATGAATATATATTGTGGTAAAATACCAAATTTGGCTATACAATAAAATATACAAGATTACTAACATAAATATTTAATACTTGTAACACCCAATACAGTCAACATGCTTTCTAATATTTCTTTTTTAATATAGATCAGCTTAATTTACTGTATATATATACATTCTTCTACCTTCTATATTATATGTTTGTATAATGTAAAAGAAAAACATAAAAATATCATTTTGGTATTACATCAACTTTAAAACATCAATTACGGAATTAACCACTTCAAAAAAAAATCCTATTTTCTCAATGAATGAAATTAAAAAAAATTTTATTAGCAAAAGCTGTTAATAAAAAGACAGAAGTTAGAATAAAAATAAATATTTATCTAACGATTTTGATATCTCGTAGTATTATGTCCTGTTTGACTGCATGTTCTACAGATATATTTTGTGTGTAGTTTTTTTTTGTCTCAGTTGCTAATTTATAACGTTTTGTTGCTGAATGTCCTCTGTGTTTTGATACTGATGAATTTTTAATTTGATTGAATTCATTTTCTTTATTTGTATCATCAAATTCATCTTCTTTATTTGCATCATCAACTTGATCGAATTCATCTTTTTTATTTGTATTATCAACTTTATAAATTTCATTAGCTTTATAAATTTCATTGATGAAAGATTCTCGATTTCATTTTCTAGTAACTGTAAACATCACTTCTTTTTGCCAATTAATATATTGTTTTAACTATACTACAATTTCTTTATAATTGTTATTTTCAATAGCAAGATAAGTTGTCTGTTGTACAAGTCTCCAAATCTCTCCATACTTAAGTTTTTTATATGCTGCATAGTATAGAATTTTTTTTTTTTTTTTTTTTAAGCAATCCTGTTTTTATTTATTTGAACTACTATGTGATACAATAAGTGCCGAAGTACCTT